GGAGAATATTATTCGTATACAGAATGGGTCACTAGTGTGTTCTCCTCCGATATTAGCCAAACCGTCAGATATATAAAATGAAAATTCAAGTACAACAGTAATAGGGTTTCATAAGAACAATCACCTCAAGTTGTTTTCACATCTATAGGGTGTTCGAATTCCAAGATATCGGTTGATTATTGGTTTTTTTCAATGGAACACCTTGTATATTATTGCATTTTTGAGTTTTTCCTGAAGAGTTGATTCCATCAATGCATCACACTTGGTGTCTAGTGGGAATTATTACAGAGATATAGGGTGTTGACAATTGAGATTCTTCAAATGTAGGATTTTTTGTGTCGAAACTATTCATTAATGGTCAAAACGGCTCACATGTTCCTGTCATAACTTTTGATAAGCTATCTACTGATATTTATTTGGAACAGATACAATAAGCTGATCAGTATTCTGAATGTTAACCCACCCTCTATTTGTTCCGATTGAATGTCAGTAGATAGTGAATCGAAAGTTTATAAGGATATGTGAGCCGTTTTGACCAATATTGAATAGTTTCCACAAAAAAATCCTAAAATTGAAAAATCTTGTTTTTGAACACCCTATATCTCTGTAATCATTCCCGCTAGACCCCAAGTGTGATACATTGATGGAATCAGCTCTTCAGGAAGAACCTAAAAATGCAATAGTATACAGGGTGTCCCATTTGGAAAAAAACAATCATCAGTCAATATATCTTGGAATCCGAACACCCTACAGATATATATGAAAAAACAATTTAATGTGAAAGTTCTCATGAAACCCTATCACTGTTGTACTTGAATTTTCTCTATTTATCTGATGGTTTGGCTAATATACAAGGATAACACACTATTGACTCACCTTGTATTATGCAAATGATAATTTCTTCAAAATAATATGGATCTCATGATATTTGCAAAATTTTCCTCTATTTATAATAGGTTCAAATGAAAAACCGAATGAAAAACCTACATTCTATTATTTATAACTTATTCTGAAAAATTTCAATTTCCTTTTCAATGAAATGTATTTCAGCTTCTTGTTGAGCACTACTAGAAGTTATTGCCTATTGATAAATATATTTCTCCATGTTGTTTTTGATTTCTGAACTTTGGACATTCCTGATGCAGAATAATCAACTGGAAGTTGAAGCCTTCATGCAATATTTTTTAGATTCTGAAGAAGCAAAACTATCTTGGAATGAAAATATCATCAGGTTTGTGTTTTGCATAACCTTCTGAAACGAGCAATGTATTAATATTTCATGTCCAGTACTTACTATCAATGATATGATTTATGTAGTTAGGTACCAACCATTATTGAATCTACTGAAAGTTCAAGTCTGCATATGTACAATCTTTCATAATTTCCGGAGAAGCCAAAATATCTTGGAATAAAATATCTCTGCTCTGATGATATCATCATTTTGTGTTATCAATAACCTCCTGAAACAAATAATGTACCTATTAATATTTCATGTTCCAGTACCTACTATATCAATGATTTGATTAAGGTACCTGCATTTATTGAATATACTGAAAGTGATGCAAACATGTATAGGCAATCTCACATAGATTTCGAAGAAGCCAAAATGTCTTGGAATGAAACATCTCTGTTCTGATGACATCATATCAATCTTGTGTTTCCAATAACTTCATCTGAAACAAATGATTAACCTATTAACATTTCATGTCCAGTACCTACTTTATCAATGATTTGATTCAGGTACCTACCTTTATTGAATTCATACTGAAAGTTCAAGCTTCCATACAATATTTTATAGATTCCGAAAAAGCAAAGCTAACTTGGAATGAAACATGTTTGCTATGATGATATCATCAAGTTTATGTTCTCAATAACCTCCTGAAACAATAAATTATGTATATGAATGTATCAATATTTCATGTCCGGTACTATCAATGATTCTATTTAGTATTTACTCACCTTTGTTTCTTGCTACCTGAGAGAAATGTCATCAACAGAGATTATCATTCTTTTGTTATTGTTATCTTTTAATTCTGTGCAATTAGTTCTTCTCGAAATCATTTTGTGAAATAGAAATTTGATGAAGGTATTCAATGAATACTCTAATAATTTTGATATAATCATTAATATATTATGATGTATCTTGAACAAATCATGACTATCATGAGACATAACCTCAATTCTAGTTCTTCTTTTTCTTCCTTTTGTCTTCGATGACACGTTATTTCATTAAATGTCATCTGAAGACGTCCGTAGGCACGAAATTCTCCACATCCTCAGGCTGTCGCTGAAAGAACCCATCTAGGACAATTACAGCGCTAAATTTACGCCTGATGATGTTCTTAGGTTGTAGAAAATAGAACGTCCTCTCCAGGCGTTTGGCGACACATTGAAGATGACCTTAGGCGAGTGTGTGCTATCTGGGTACTTCAGTCGAATGTACTGTGGCTAATGGTGAATCATGTGCCGTGGCCGACTGTGTTTCTCTACCATTGCAGATAGGTAGTCGCACAAAAATAATTGAGGTATTAGTTGTCCCTTTACTGCCTCACCAGTTACTTTTGGGTATTGCCTTCTGGGTCAAAATGGCAATTATTCCAGATTTATATTCGGATGAGTGGACATTTCGAAATGAGGCGGATATAGCGAAGGACGTTGAGATATTGGCCATTGATTCTAGGGATACTTTGACCGAGGCATAGCAAAAAAGCTTAGATCATCTCATCGAATCGACCTTTGATGATATGGGGAATAAACTAGGATGCACTACCCTCGTGAAGCATGTAATAATCACTGATTCGCCGCCGATTCGGCAACGTCATTGGCCTCTGTCGCCCGCTTCGCAAAAGCAAGTCCACGAAGAGCTCGATAAGATGCTCGCAAATGGAGTAGTTGAACCCTCTAGTTCATCTTGGGCATCCCCAATTCTCTTGGTCAAGAAGCCGGATGGGCGATACAGATTTTGCGAGGATTTCCGCAACCTAAATAAGGTTACCAAATAGGATGCCTACCCACTTCCGTTCGTCTCTGCTACGTTGGACAAACTAAGGGAAGCCCGCTTCCTTACAACGTTGGACATAAAATCTGCCTATTGGCAGTTACCATTGTCAGAATCTTCCAAGCCGCTGACTGCATTCGTGGTACCTAATTGAGGGCTATTTCAATTCAGGCGGATGCCAATGGGGCTCCACAATGCACCCGCGACTTGGCAGAGGTTTATCGACAGGGTCGTGGGGATAGATTTAGAGACGTATGTGTTTGTGTATCTCGACGACGTGATAATATGTACTTCCACTTTCGAAAAACACCTCGAGATCGTCCAGGAGGTCCTCCATCGTCTGAAAGCGGCAGGTCGCACTCTTAACCGGGACAAATGTAACTTTTGTAAGCCGGAGCTTCGATATCTACGTTATATTGTTAATGCTTCGGGTCTGATGGTCGACCTGGATGAAGTGGCGGCAATCCTTCAGATTCCGGAAGTAGGATAAAGTGACATTTGAAGTGAAGTTCATTTCAATTCTTCTTCTTCATCTTCATCACTGAAGAAAAAGAAAGTCTGATGGACCGTTTTCCTTGTCTCATGGCTCTTATATATCCGGTATCTAGTGTCTCAATTTTCGTTGCCAGCCTTAACTTTTTGTGATTTGTTGATTTATCATAGCTATACAGTAAATTCTTCAAATGCACGAGTTCATGTGTTTTCACCAAGCTTATCATTTTGCAGAGAACAAAATATTATGTTATTTTTTTATAGTGCCTGGTTAATCACAGGTACATATATGAGTCACTGATGACAAGTAAATGAGTCACTGATGACGAGTAAACTAGTCACCAATGACCTGTGATCAGGTCAGTTATGACAAGTAAACAAGTCACCAATACCAAGTGAATAAGTCACTGATCGCAAATATATAAGTCACTGATGATGAGTGAATGAGTCACTAATGACAAGGGAATGAGTCACTAATGAACAGTGAATATGTCACTAACGACCAGTGCTGTATTCACTCACGGTTCTCAATCTGGAATTCGATGGAATAAGTAGATAATGATTGATTCGAATTCGATGAAACAAGTAAATAGTGATTGATGTACATCTTCAAGAACACAAATATTCTTGTTGTTATCAACTTGTTTTCTTGTTCCAAATAGTATACAAATTCAAACTTGTCACTATTGGATATTTCCTCGGGTTGGTTATTCTTTTTACTCGTTTGGCGAATGATTCTCTCAATATCTCGTGCTAATTCCCTAAAATTCCAATAGCTATTTTCGAGGATAGCATGATACAACACTAGATTGTGATGGCATGTTAAATGAATGAATATCCAAAGAAATACCATTAATTTGCCAAAATGATTGGCATACATGCACATATGTTATACATATCGAACATATTATAGGCGATAGACACATACAGGATGATTTTGCTACAACTTACCCCCCTCAGATCTTCATTAGCCTGAGGACGAATCAGGAAGTTGAAGATCTTCCTTTTCGAATGGCTTGAGGTGGCAAGCGTGGAACATACCGCGTTCTTCATCTGAATCTAAATGTTGCAAGATGCAAGATGAAGGTTACCGGGCAGTGCACCAGTATTCTCACTAGAAAAAGCATAATTTTGTGGCCTAGGGCCCTGTGTCATATAATCTTGATATTCCCTACGATTATTATTTGTGTTATTGTTACTATTATTTTAATTCACCCTCTCGAAGTTTTTTGTAACATTTTCCATATTCCTTACATTTCTATTGCTATGTGACATCCTATAATTACCTGGTATGAAATTAGGCACATTCGTATTATTTGGAAAAACAAATGACTGCCCTGTAGGATTATTATCAACATTGAAAAACTTATTCGCCCTTTGAGCAGGAATTTCCGAGTTTACAAAATATGGTGGAAAATTAACATCAAAGTCTCTATTAGGTAAATTGAAATGATTGTTATGTGAGTGAGAGCTTTGCCCTTCCAGATTTCCTGGTGGTAGGCTCCCTTCCTCAGGGTGCACCTGAAGGATTTTCTTGAGATGTGGGCACATTCTGCTGATCAGTGGCCGCCGAAGGCGGATTTTTCTCCTTGGAGGAATTTTCCTCCTCTCCCTGCGCGCCAGACGAAAAAGGAAAAAATCTCATACCTGTTGTGTGGCTTTGTGGTGTTACCGGAAGGTTATTGTTCGTTTGTCCTGAAGTTCTCAAAGATTCTTGATTTCTTGGTATCGTTCCTGTTTTCGGCTGCATAGTTTTCTTTCTCAAATTATAGGGGCTCGGATTTTCCATTCTGACTCTCCCTATGGCCCCACGTTGGGCGCCAGTTGTAATATGTAGATGGGGTTCAGAAATGAGGGATGTGTCGTACAAGAAAACCACTTTATTGTTTAACGGCCTCAAAATCTCGGTTTCTATAGTGTACAGAGCGCCAGTTAGGTGATTACAAATCTAAAACCAGATTAGCTAATTGATACTTTGAAATTCCAGGGCGTAAGAACAATCGAAAAACATGCCGGCATCAATCCGGTTAAATAATATTTCGAACTAATATTTAGTAATAGTTTGATCATGAAAACAATTATAAATAAAGTTGCTAGAGAACTTACCTAAAACCAGGCACACTATTCGTAACTTGTTACACAAATTCTGATAGCTTCACCAAAAGGCTTTTACGATTGCAAACTCAAATGGCGATCGGCCACTAGGTAAACGCAGGTAAACGTGAAGAAAAGAAGCGAATCTCCGAAGTCTCGGGTTTCCGTAAAAACTACCAAAGTTTATAAAAACAATTTATGGATAAATGGCCAAGTAGAGGCATCTAGTGTAAGGTGAGTTATTTATCGAAGAAGCAGGTAGATTAGCAAACTGTTATACATATCGAACATATTATAGGCGATGGACACATACAGGATGATTTTGCTACACCCTCAATATGGTTGATGATGCTTGATGATATTTACACCGATTTTGGCGAATCGCTATTGTTCGAATATTCAGAAAAAATAATGAATATGATGAAGTTTCCAAAATAAGTTGATTGACTCTTGTATGACCTAAGAACATATTTCTTCAGGAGGAGAAACGCTGAAAAATCGTCTGTTAATATTCGATGTTTTTCTGATCAAAATCTGATACGAGGTGAATCAGAAAAGGAGATATCTTGAAATTTGCTACTGATTATCTAAAGCCCAATATGAGCTTCTGCTCTCGAATCATGTTCTGGAGTATACCTGAATCAAGAAGTCTTCAAAAAAATTGCCTCATATAAACATATACAGTGGGGACGTGGAACGTTCTCTTCTCCATCTCCTTTCGAACATGAGAAGCTAGCAAGGTCGGGTAATATTCATCAGGTCAAGAGGTACCTGGTTCTCTACTTTCTGGCATAAAATTGTTTGTGGTTACGTGGCTGGATGTCACGTGGTATTCTATTTTGAAGGCCCTCAGATCATCTATCAAACATCGCTTGATATGTGCAAATCGGCCAAGCCGTTTCAAACTAACAAGCTTTCAAAATTGGCATCAAAAATCAATATAAATTGATAAAACCCTGAATAATTTCCGATTGCAACAACATTCTCAGTATAAATTGTGATTAGTGCTCCAGAATGTTAAAAAATTCTACTGTTCACTTATTCACACGAAGAAAGCGGTTTCGCAATCGAATCAGAACGTTATCTACTCACTATTTTCGAGGTTCCAAAACTGAAAACGTTTGTCATTTTGAGAAGGGTTACCCAATTTGCACAAACCAAGCCTTGTTGGATGAATGATCAGAAGGCCTCCAGAATCAAGCACTAGGAGATCCCCCGTTGAATTTAGAGAAAAGTTGATGTTGCCCTCTTGACACTAGCTCAAATGACCACAACCAATTTCATACCGAGAAGTGGTGAAAGAGGTACATTTTTATTGCAATTTTATTCGACCTTGCTGACTCGTCCTGTTCAGAAGTTGAAGAAGAAGAAGAAAAATTCTCACGTCCTAACTGTCTATTACATATATACAGCTTTGTTCACATTTCCGGATAGTGCTCGTTCATTACTATATCATGAAACATGGAATCAGTTTTTTGAAATCTCATTCTGATCAAGAGAGTTCTACTGTTTTGAAGCAACGAGGCTGTAATAAGTAACAGTTCAGTATTTCAACATATTGATAATTCTACTAACATCGTTTGTTTTCAACTAACCATGGTTTAGGCTTGCCAGATTTTAGAAACCTCACCTGATCATTCTTTCAAAATTCATGTCGAACTATTCACGTTTGTATCTTACCTCTTTTTCGTTTTCTTCAGAAAATCTCCAATCTTATTGATGTGAATTGGGTTGATCACTAAGACTTCATCATCGTAATCAATCATTTCTGTCTGCTTCAGTATTCCATTGATGAACTCGAACCATTGAACTACTGGGTATTTGTATAGCAGTTCTGAAAGTGTGAGTCTCTCGTAGTCATCCTCCGTTATAGTTTTCATGGTTGATCCAGATTCTTTACTCATCTGCAATGAACAGTAGTAAGTATACGATGAATGGGATAGTCAATAAAATACTCGAAGAGTTATTTCACTTTTACAGTTCTTGATTTGCCATGTAAACAAGTTGATTCTCGTGATATCTTCTAGAAAAGAAATATACTTTCTCTCTAGATTGTGAGATGGAAAAATCTCATTCGAATGTGTAATCATTCGGAAACAATTCGGCATACGCATGAGGAGTCATGTGTGTTATTTTTGTTCTAGAGGTGTGTTGCTATCGGTTCAATGGTGAGTAACTGTACGTGTACGAGCGGGATTTCTGTCTCACTTCAAGTAGCTGATTGAGGCACACGTCTCAAGCCTTATGAAATAATTATCACTCGATAGTATATGCCGTCATCATCATTTTCTCGACCTACCTTCCGACTTGATCTCCAAATTGATGAATATTATGATGTTCCTTGAACATTTTCACACAAATCTCTACTACTCATTGAAATCCTTCATGAATCGATAGAAAGATCATATCATAATTTATGATAAATATCAATCCATTGGCGTTGATTATGAGAAAAAAGGAGATTAAGTTTGGAAGGTGAACTCATCTCGTTGATAATATTATGTGGACTATATCTTGTGATACTACTACTCACGTGCAGTGCACCAAAAATCGCAAGACTTTTTATAAACTTCTTTGCACAATAATTTGCTACTCTCGAATGCGGTGATCACGGTGTCAGACTCTTGAATACCGGGTCCTGTTTGTTCTCGTCACCAATAGCGCTGTTCTCAGGATCGGAAGTATTTGTCAAAACGCAAAACAGGTGGTTGTTCCATATCACTCCGTATATATGATACTCAAGATGACACCGGATAAATTGATTAGGACAGATAAATGATATATGTCAATGTTATGTTACTTCAGATGAATAATAAAGTTGAGTATCAACTTAGTTATCAAGTATGTCTCAGTCAGTACTGAGTTGGTACAATAATAAGAAGATGTCTTCCACGAGTATTATGCCATGTAAAAGTGCAGGTAGGAGCTATTATCAGCAGTAGATTGAAGCCTATTCAGGAGAAAGTTTATTCCATTCAAGACACGATTTTGCTATTGGAAATTAGCACCAAGGAGTCCATCTCTGAGTTGGAAACCAATTTCTATGCTTACTTCGAAAAGGTCAAGAGTATGATCCGATAGTTGATGCCAAGTTTTAGGGAAAAGAATATCATCCTAGAGGATCAAGTGATTAAAGTTAGGCAAAATTATTCTAAGAATACCCTGCTAAAGGATTCCTCATCAAATTCAACTAGTACACATTAGTTACATAATATGGAAGCGATAGCTAGTTCTGAAAAAATCACTGATATGCAATTGTTCTCACAATTCTGGGATTGAAAAATTAAATATATAAATTATTTTTCACTCAGGGAATATCATATGTTGTTAAAATAGTATCGAAGATACTCATCAAAACAGAAAACAAAATATATTGAGATACTTGATAGATTGGAAGAGCTCTTAAGAAAAAAGGAAATGGTTGCATAAGAATGAGCCAATTCATGGCTCGTAAACAAGTGTTCGCTGAATCATTCACTTCCTTTCAAAGGTAGAAAGTTGAATCAATTCAATCAATTGATCCCTGTCATCCAGATACCGAGTGGTCGAATTCTAGTAGGAAATCGAAGGTTCTCACGACAGATTCCTGGAAGGGCGCAGGAGATGATAGTAATTCGAGAAGAGTAAAATTAACTATCAGTGGTAATTATTCTGCTGCAAAATCTCACAATTCGACAGAGGTGAGGACGGTAAATAACTTGAATTCACCTTTGCAATCTCTCGACATGAAAATAATAATTGAACGATGGCCGCATTTTGAAAATGTCCCTGTAGAATCATTCAATGGGATGAGATCAAAAATCTCTGGTAGTAGTCCATGCTCAAATTGGAGGTGATGAGATAATTAAGAGAACAAACTCAAAGTCTCGCTCTAAGTAAATTATAATCAAATCATATACGCTACATGTTTCGACTCCTAGGAGTCATTATCAGGCTAAAATACAACACTTATAAATGAAAGAAGTTCCATCACTATTGGAAAATGGGTGACATACCTTGCTAGGTAGGAGGAGAAAGGAAACTATAAAATTGAGAACATAGTTCTTAAGGGTTTATAGCCCAAAATAATTTTAAGAAAAATTTTTGAATTTTGGTTTTTTGAACCCCCAAATAAACATTTTTCGTAAGATGCTTCTTTTGGATTAGATAAACATTGTGTACAGCAAATGGCGCGGTTATGAAGTGAACAAACCGACAGACTACTTGATTTGAAAGATAAAAATTATTATTCGACAAACAAGTGACAAATGTCATCTATCAAAAACACAAAACATTGAAGTTGACTTAATGGACCATGCATCAAAATTCATAACAAACAAGGAAATGTGTCTAGATTGACTAAGTCGGCTATTTAAAATTGTGTTTTTTGAATTAGGAATAACAACGTTAAACAAAGGGATTGCCAATGCAACCAATAATGAATGAAGAGGAAGATTACAAAATGGAATTGAAAGTGGATAGGCAATCAAATCTAACTTGTTCATTACTAATTCTAATCTAACTTGTTCATTCAAATCAATAGATCTGCCCATTCAAATTCAACTGTTTGTCTTAATGAACAAGGAACAACTTAGGAAAAATGTTTATTTGGGGGTTCAAAAAACCAAAATTCAAAAATGTTTCTTAAAATTATTTTGGGCCTAAAACCCTTAAGAACTTTGTTCTCAATTTTATAGTTTCCTTTCTCCTCCTACCTAGCAAGGTATGTCACCCATTTTCCAATAGTGATGGAACTTCTTCCATTTATAAGTGTTGTATTTCAGCCTGATGATGACTCCTTGGAGTCGAAACATGTAGCGTATATGAATTGATTATAATTTACTTGGAGCGAGACTTTGAGTTTGTTCTCTTAATTATGAGATCAAAAATGTTTATTGGTACAGACAACTATGATTCAACTATGCCTTGGGGTTTTGTTAAAAACTCCAGGTATGCGCCAAAAGCCAACTAACCAAACTAAGATGGGTATCCATGGCCAAATAATTCGGGTAGGATTCAGAATGATTTCAATTTCCATATCTTGAGGATGATATGCTGCATTCCCTAGTTGAACAATCTTTCATGTTGAATGTTGATGATGTGAAAGATGACGACATTCGTATTTCAAGATAAGATTAATTTGCCCTTAATATAATGAAACAAACTACGAATAGAATAGGAGACCGATTTGAGACTGGATTTTTATGGAAACAAGACACTTTCATAGTACCAGCAAGTAAGACGATTGCACTTAAACGTTTGTATTGTCAAGAGAAAAAGAAAGGGTTGGGATCGTCTCTTTGGAGAAGTTTATTGTCAGAAAATCTATGAATATATTGCAAGAGGATACTTGAAGGCATTAGGACAAGCAAAAATTGTAGTCGAATCAGGTAAACTACGGTTAGTTTTTGACGCAGCATCCAAGTCTCATGGAGTGAGCCTGAACGATATGCTCTTGTCTGGTTCAGATTTGCTGACACCGCTTCTGAATGTTTTATGGACTTTCAGGCAACGGGGGATAGCATTCTCCACAGATATTGCGGAAATGTTTCACCAAGTCAATATTAGGAACAAATATAGGTCAGCACAACGTATCTTTTGGAGGGGTTTTGATAAGAATCGAGAACAAAGCGTACTTGGAATGCAGGTTATGACGTTTCGAGCTACCTGCTCGCCATCACTGGCACAATATGTCAAAAATGAAAATGCCTCTGAATATAATAAATTGTTTCCGAAAGCTTCTGATGCCATTATCAGAAAACATTATGTTGACGACTATTTAGACAGTTGCGATTCAGAGGAAGATTCAATAAACCTCATCAAGGACGTCATTTATGTACATAGAGAAGGTGGATTCCATATTCGTGATTGGTTATCCAATTCAAAAAATGTATTGTTGAATTCATCCAAAGACATGAGGCTCACAACAATTGAAGATTTCAGTTGTGATTCGGACTTACCTATCGAGAAAGTATTTGGAATTCAATGGGATCCTGAGAAAGATGAATTCAGGTTTTAACTAAATTTTGAGAAGATATCTGCTGAAATTGACACTTACGATTTTATTTCAACAAAACAAGGAGTACTACGACTTATGATGGGAATTTTTGACCCTTTAGGTTTTTTGAATAACGTAATTGTTGAAGGAAGAATTATCTTACAAGAAATTTTGCGTGAGAAAACGGAATGGGATGATGAAATGATCTGTACTCTAACGAATAAATGGAATATTTTCTTGAATGAATTGAAGCTCATAACTAATATATCAATTCCCCGATGTTATTCCTTGAATATTTCTATTTCATAATCGATTCAACTACATACCTTTTGTGATGCCAGCAAAAAGGTGTATGCAGTTGTTTCCTACTTAGGAGTTGAAAGTAAGCATGTTGTAGATGTATCATTTGTGTCATCAAGATGTAAAGTTTGTCTATTGGAAGCCTCAACTATTCCACGGTCAGAACTGCGAGCTACACTTATGGGGTGTAAGTTAGCGTATTGGACCAACTGTTCTTTTGGACAGATTCCACAATAGTTCTGTCTTGGATACGGACGGAAATGATTAGTCTATAAAAGTTTGTATTCAATAGAATGAAAGATATACTGAAGTATTCCGATAGTTTCAGTTGAAGGTGGATACCAACCAAAATCAATATCGCCGATGAAGAGACGAGAGATATGCCGAGAATAAAACAATCTTCTACTTGGTTGACAGGACCGATTTCTTTGAGGAGAGCATCCACATCTTGGCCAGAAGAAATCATGGATGTTAGTAATGACCAATCTGTAATCAAGAAGAGATTTCTAGGCAATATAAATTTTGTACAGAATCTCTTGTTAGTTCTACCGGACAGTCAAAGTCTTTCTTCCTGGCTGAAGCTTATCAGAAGTTCAGCTTGGGTGTTGAGATTTCAAAAACGTTGCT